GGTGATGGCACATGGGTGATTTGGTGATGGGAAGCCCCCAGGGACTACAACTAAAATGGAAAAGAGCACAAAATGATGTAAAGATAAACTATTACATTATTTTTTATCACCATTTTATTTAACTTTACAAAGTAAACACTATGTCCCAGAAAAGCTAATATGTTTTTACGCACCCCCCAGAGCCTACGCCCGAGGTAAGAGCTTCCCACTTTGTAATGGACCACATCTGAGGACAGGTATGCTCTTCTCACTGGCTATCTCTAATACTAAGGCATTTTCAAAAATGTTGCGCTAATGTAGAACTAAGTTAAACAAATAGTTTTATATCCAAAAGGGCAACAATACCCACAGCTACTGTTCCATATAGATGTTCTCTATATTGTAGTTTTTTTGTAGTAAATCCATTTTGGTACAAAATTAAAAAAAAGATGAAGATTGCTACTTGGGTAACAGAAAACTTTCTGTGGAAATTAAACAGACACCAATGTTTCTGCCACCAAAGCAACTTAAGATGTGACTTTAGGAAAATCTCTTTGTTATTTCAGTCAGGCACATAGGTCAGGAAAGAGCCCCGTTTCCTGCTGAACCCATCAGTTGCCATGTCCAAACGTTTCGTTTTATACAGAATGATGCCACTTCTGAAATGCTACCCCACTTCCAGACTGGTTTTCCTTGAAAGTCTAAGGGAAAGAAACCACCCCCTTACACCATTCCTTTATTCCTGACAAGATTCCCCTGCAGACTTCAGAAAAAGGTGGCGGCTACATAACCAGACAGATGGAGCATAAATCAGAGTCTCCACAGTATTAAAACAAATAAGAAACACGTTCAACCTCCTCGTAAGATCTTACCTGCTGAACAGCATCTGAACATTTTTTTGGAGTTTCCAAAACAGCAGATTCTGGGTTGAAAAGGAAGAAGACAGTCAATATCTTAGAAAAAAGTTTTCCCACTTCCTAGTTCAGAAAATAAAATGAACTAACGTATGTTTTCAACCAGAAGTACCAATCATACTTATTTTCCAATCATACTTGTGTCGGATGAAGACAGACACTTTTCAGTATACATGACACATGCAAAGAATAACACTCATGTTGTTATTTTCAAAGTCAGAAGAGCCTCATGCCCTCCCTTACCCCTTGGTCGTGATTATTCTTCTCAAATGTTAGTGTCCATGTTGTGTCAGAAAAGAGATGGTCAGACGTTCTCTGACTATATACACATAGCTAAAGGCTGTAAAAGGACAGACATCAACTCGCTAATCTTGAAAGCTAAGGTCTTACATGTCTTAGCCCATTTACCTTTGACACCAATGTCACGCCTGCCAAGAGGTACTGAGTAATAAAGGATTGAAGGAATCTTGCTCCATTAGCCTGTCATTTGAAAGTCGTAAATTCATACTAGAAAACCTTAAGAATAACCAAATCCAGGAATTTTATTCTTTTAAGTGGTAAATATCAATTTTTATTTTTTATAAGTTTATTTTTACATCATTTTGTACATTTTTTTCCCATCATCTCAATTGTAATCCCCGTGAGTTTCCCATCACTGCAAATCCAGGAATTTTAATTGAGGAGGCAGCTTCATCCAAGAGAAGATTGATTGAGCGGCAGTTTAAAAACCATAAAAATAAAAAGAACTTGGGCCCTCCCTGGTGGCGCAGCGGGTTAAAGCTCAGCACTAAGAAGCTAAAGTCACTTCCACAAGAGTTTGATCCCCGCCTGCCCCGGAGGTGACCCCAGGGCGCGGCAGACCTCTCCTGACCCGCCCGCTGCTCCCCTCAGCAGTGGACTTCACTGATCTGCCTGTTCTGCTCCCCACTCTGTCCTTGGTGAAGCCTCTCACCCTCCGGAACTCTGGCCTGTACCCCAGTTCTGTATGAATAAATCAATAAATCTTTAAAAAATAATAAAAAATAATTCAGGAATCCCAGTGCTCCATGGGTCAGTCTCAAAACCACGTATCTTATCCGTGCTCTGAATTTCTCAACTGAGAATCCTAAGGTTTATACCACAAGAATTTGAACAAGCTGAAGCCTACAATGGGTCTCCCACGTGTCACACCGCAGCCGGCATGCAAGTCACACACGAAACAAGCCAGAGCAGTTTTGCTCTCAAAAACAGTTCAACAGTTACTGCCAAACCCGCCCAAACACAAGAGATGCAAGGACACAGGGTTCCGGGACTTTCTGCAAATGCAGAAAAGTGTCTCTTAACTCTTTCTAGTTCAGGAAGAGACCAAAGGATCACCTGGTAGAACACAAATACTTTTGTTCTGTTTTGGCATTAAGCGAATACAGTGTTTCCTAGCTTGACCAAGAGTCCGGCCTCAGAAATCAAGCTATAACTCTCCGACATACAAGAATGCCCGCGCTTACCAGGACAGTAAACAACAAAGGTCTGAGACTTTAACCCCTGCACCAGTTCTTGTACGCACAAATAAATAAAATAAATCTCAAAAGAAAAAAAACAAAGTTCTAAAAACCTATTCCTGAACTTCCAGCTTGCCTCTCTTTCGGTGCGGCTCTGGATGTTAGGGAGGTACACGGCAGCCAGGTACCCTGAAAGGCTCAGTGCGCCCCAGCCCAGGCTGACAGATCTCACCACCTTCTCCAGGGCCCTGCCAGCATCCACGCAAACCTATAAAATGTGATTTCCTCCACCTGGGTTGAACCCCACTTTCTGTGTGGACTGAGTTTTCTGAAGAAAAGTGTCTGCGTATTGTCTTCAATGGGGCAGAAACCACCTTACATCTCTCACTTGACTTAAATTTTACTACACACAATACATTATCAGCCCCAATGTCTCACTTCCCAGAATTCTAACTCATCAACCTTGAAGGAGAAGCATTAAAGGTCTGCGAATTTGCAAGTCTTCCAGTGATTCTACTGGAATGTTCTGCAGCTCATAATCTGACCCCTAGGAGAGAAACTCAGACTCACTACCCAGCAAGCGCGGCACGCTTTCCGGACACTTCTTTCCAGGTCCTACCTACCTGTGCCAACTTCCGTGGGCCTCTGCTCTTCATCAGGAGGCTGAGCTGGAGCCCAAACAGGCGGCCTGGGAAACTGCCCTTCAGCAGCAGCTCTGGAACCCAGGGAGTGTGTGGGCTGTCTGACAGCGGCCCAGGTGTACAGCTGGTCTTGCTAAATTGAAAAATAAAAAGTGCAGCTAAGTCGTTCAGTCAGGAAAGAAATGATTTCTTCTTGTTGGCACATTGCGACATCATTTCCATCATAAATATATAAACGGGATGTGTGTATGTAAAGATATCCATCTGGACATATGTGAAACATGAAACAGCATTTTGTAGTATCCAATGTGCATTCAGAACATAAATACTCATTCACGGTCGGTCATTTTCTTTACGGACTTGTCTCTACTCCTTTGTAATAGCAAGCTCTAAGCCTCTTTAGTTGTAGACAGAATATCACATGGTCCTGCAGGGAAGTATAAGGTTACAAAAATCCAGACGCTCACAAAGAATTTTCTGCATTAGCATCTTCGGTGGAGTTGAATTTAAAAACTTGTGGCAGGGCCCTCCCTGGTGGCTCAGCAGGTTAAAGCACAGCACTAAGAAGCTTCAGCCACTTCAGCATGAATTTGATCCCCGCCCCGGAGGTGACCCACAGGGCGCGGCAGACCTCTCCTGACCGCCCACTGCTCCCCTCAGCAGTGTGCTTCATCGATCTGCCCGACCTGCTCCCCACTCTGTCCCTGGTGAATCCTCTCACCACCCCTGGACCTCTGGCCTGTACCCCAATTCTGTAATGCATAAATAAATAAATCTTAAAAAAAAAAAAAAACTGTGGCAAAGTCAAAAAACGGGCTATACTTGAGTACCATCAGCCAATAAAATCTTCCTTGCCTACAACAATATAAAGGAAGAAAACCTTTAGAAATGTTTTGAGAGAAGTCATAAAAAAAATAAATGAGGGCCCTCCCTAGTGGCACAGCAGGTTAAAGCACAGCACTAAGAAGCTTCAGCCACTTCCGCATGAGTTCAATCCCCGGCCAGGGAGCTGACCCACACGGCCCAGCAGACCTCTCCTGACCCGCCCGCTGCTCCCCTCAGTAGTGTACTTCGTCAGTTGGCCTGTTCTGCTCCCACTTTGTCTTGGTCTCTGGTGAATCCTCTCACCGCCCCTGCACCTCTGGCCTGTACCCCAGTTCTGTATGCATAAGTAAATAAATCTTAAAAAAAAAATAAGTAAAACTACTATAATCACTATGTTGAAACAAAAAAGGAAACTGAGTCAACCAATGGGCAGGTGTTTCTATTTCTATAAGAAATTAATAAAATATTCTTCGGCATATAAGCAAGGTACAAGAGACAGACAATTTCATTAACTGAGATTTCAGACTCCAGTAGTAAGCTAGCATTCTATTAGAAAAGGTCACAGTTCAGCTACTGATATCACTTTCAACTATTCACATACTGAGCAACATCAGAGTCTTTGCTATTGAGCATACTGAATATTAAAAATAGCTTTTCATTTGTGAAATTAATGGCTTATCTAAAAATGGAAAAATAAATAACAGAAAAATAAACCAAAACCAAAATGACTGAATAAACAGTTCATATCAATAACCACCCCAAGAGTGAATGGCCTAATTCACCACTAAAAAGAGATACACTGACAATGCACGTGATGTTTCCGTCATCAATACTTGGTTTACAAGAGGCCTGTTTAAAACCAAAAGGCAAAAATAAACGAAAAATAATAGGTTGGAGTAAGATCATACATGCTAATAACTGAATGAGAAAAGGAGGAACTACTGTTCTCATAACAGATAAACTAAACTTTCAACTAGAAAGGCAATGGGGACAAAGAAGGACACTGTGTAATAAAGAAGGTAATAATTCACAAAATACAATATATAACAGTTATCAACATCTATGCACCTAACACTGGAGCATCTTTTATATAAAGCAACAATTAACAGCTCTAAAACAACATCAACAAAAATGCGATCACTATAGGGGACCACAGCACAACACTAACACAAAGGGGGAATGTTCATCCAGTGAGAAAATTAAAAAATAAATATGGGTCTTACATGAGCTGTTAGAAGAGATGGAATTACCACGATAGGCTTTCCTTCCTAAAAGAAGTGAATACAGTTTTGGCTCTAGTGCTCATGGAACAATCTCAAGAGTCGATCATATACTAGGACATGAACCTTGTCTCAGAAAATATATCAAAGTAGAAATCACTAAGAACACCATTTGGCATTTACCTTTGTCTTGATTTATTTATTATTTATTATTATTGCACTAATCTGGAATATAGAGAACTCAAAATAAGGATCAAATTTTTAAAAAATAATTGTATATATATACGTGTGTGTGTCTATATATATATATAGATATATATATATATATATATATATACATATATATATATGTATTTCAAATATAGTGGTTGCCCGGGGGAATAGGAACAGGGAGGAATCAGGAAAGTAAAGTATAGATTAATGGCACTGGGGTTTTAATGGAGAGTGAGTGAAGTGTATGAATATAGGGAGTGAAGTTGTACCCCCAAAGTTATAAAGTTATGCACACAACCTGCAAATAAAATGAATAAATAAATATAAATAAGCCCTGGCTCTTTTTTAATTTTGAACATGTTGATCTCAAAATTCTATTTTCCCTCTACTAAATGATGTATTATGAGATAATAGTTGCAAATTGTATTACCTCAATAGGATCATTTTTAGTTAGTCAAAAAATAGGACCAATTATTGGTATTATAGTAGCTACCAAGCAAACAGAGGAGGGAGTCAATGACTATGGGAAATCTATAAATAACTTAAAAATTATAAAACCTTCCCCAAAATGTCAAACGCATAACAACATTATAACTATTCACTACTTTAACCTTCAGGTGGCCCAAAATGAAGATTGTTCTTTACTCCTGCCCCAAAAAGCAAAAATAAATCATTAGTACAGTAGGGCATAATCATAACCAAAGCTCATAAGTAATATTTCAGGGAACCCATTAAACTATTACCGATGACTAAGTAAGCAACACTTTAATGAAGTCACACACTCCCACAGATTTCTTACTATGACACACATACTTCAGCTTTGAGAAGTAATTAACTGCGAATAATTACTTTACTTCAGATACATTTTGACAAGCTGTAATTGAAGCTATCTACATATCTACAGCTTCAGGAGATGGGTAAAGTTTTAGCCAATAGCACAGAATTACAAAGTTTATAAAGTTAAATTACAGGTCTTCTATCAACAAAAATATTTTAATTTTCATTTTCTAGTTTTCAGCAAGTACAAATGAGTCAACAAACTTTAAATTGAAAGTTTCGTTGTTCTCTTTCTAATGTTTACAAAAAACTTCTCAGGTAGTAAAATAAAATTTTTTATTCTAAAACTTATTTTTCTTCCTCTCATCTTTCCTATATGTTTTTTACTCAGCTAATTAACACTTGCATTATTGACCTAACACATATCATTTCTTCAGTGATTCTACCAACCTACAGATGTTCAAATTCCATCTTCTTGTTCAAAACCTTTGCTCACCTTTGCTGGAGACAGGTCCTGGTACCACCTCTATTGTTCATGAGTCCGTCCCACCACAAAAGTGTATCACTTTTCTTACCATGGCTTAGTCCATCAGGATC